AGTAACGTAGTCGATTTTTATAGCAAATATACGTTTGATTCATCGACAGTCCCACCAAAGAATGTGATATTGAAAAATGCCTAGCTTTCCTTAAAAGTAACTTCTGCCCTTTGACCCAAAGTGCACTCGTAGCAATGTGGTCGAGTGGTTAACGTGTTAAGCTCCCATTCTACACTGTCACGGTTTGACTCCCGCTGGGGTGTTGCTAAGTCCTATGCGAGGTCGAAACTGCAGTCCACTGGTGCCTGGATGATAACAACTTTTAGGAAAGCAAGGTTATGTGAAATTCAATGGAAACGTCAGCTCAACTCATATCATTGTGGGAAAATTCTTCTACCAATCCTTCATCTCCTTAACGAAATAGGTTGAATACATCTCATTACACTGATTTACTGGTAGCCTCGAAACTCTACTTAAACACAAAAATTTAATGTACCATGGCCAACATGAAAGGAAATTAGCTAAATTATTTATTATCATTATATGTCTATGCATTTTCGCGTTTAGCTATCAGGATATATGTGACGCGAGATAGAGACGGACAGTCTTCCCGACCAAATGCTAAATTGAGACTTTTACAAAAGTGATTTCCAGCTTTCATGGCGTCTTTCATATCACGTAAGAAAGTTTAGCCTGTTTTTGCCCTAAATCAAGGAGGATATCCCGTGAACTGCATCAACCTGAAAGTCGTATTAAAGCCAAACGGCTGCGGTACAACGTGAATTTGCCTTCGTCTTCTGGTGAGATCGACCTTTCATAGGAAATCATATTCTCTCTAACACTCGAATAAAGGAGGAATGACTCAAGGCAAAATGGAGTGACCGATGTTTGTATACCTTGTCTCTGATTCCCTGACGCATATTCTCCCTCTCCTCCTCCATCTTCCTGTGTTTCTCCTGACGACGTTGCTCGGCCTCCCGAAGGGCTTCTTCCAACTCGGGATCCATCTCCTTTTTGCCGTCGCCATCGCCGCCATCACTCTTTTTGTCGCCTAGGGCACCTGTTCAGGGGTGAAGCGAAAAGGGGATGTAAGGAGGGATGCTCATTTGTGGGGATTGGAGTGCGTCAAAATACACATTAAACAGAAAAATAAGAATAACAGACGAACATAACGCGTATTAATTCATATTTTTGTAAGATTCGGTAAACCTAACTATTCTACCTTTAATCTTGGTAAGCAATGATATGATCGTGTAAGAGCCGGGAACCCCTTTTGGCATCTTAATGCGATGTAGGACCGATAGTTGGATTGCCGACAATGGAATGAGTAGAAGACGCCATGAATGAATTAAATTAATCTTACCTTACTTCTTAAGAAAACTTTTCATTCTGGCTCGTCTGGATCCTATCAATATCTATAGTGGGATAGAAAACCTAATTATCCCTGTCAATAAGCTACGTTTCTACTCACTCACACAGCCACGAATGACAGCAAGTCACAGAGCAGATGTGACTTTCAGGGCAAGCCAGGCGTGTGTCGACTCTAGTTATTATTTATGTTCCCAATTTTTAAATAAATAAAAAATGTCGTCGATTTCTTATTGAAAACAATCGACTGCTGACTAACTGGTTTCGAATCCCGTTGGGAGTGACGATGAAACGGACGGGCGAGGTCAAAAACCCAGTCCAGCATGAACGATAAAGCCTTGTGATGCCGTGGCTGATTAAATTTCAGGGCATTGTGTGTCCTTTTATTTATTTAATTATGAGAAAATTAAAAGTCCTTATCGCCTAAACCGAACTAGTGTGACTAGGGTTTTTATTTGAAATGTTTTCATCCTATTTTTTTAAGATGATGAAGGGCTAGTAGCTTTATTTTTCCAAAATGATATGAGTTTAGCTGACGTTTACATTGAATTTTACCTAATCTTGCTTTCCAAAAAGGCATTCTTATCCAGGCGGAAGTGGACTGCAATTTGGAATTCGCCTTGATCTTATCGACACTCATAGCGGGACTCGAACCATGACAGAGCAGCATACCATCTCGACACGTTAAGATCATTATTCCTAATAGACTGATAGTTTAGAAACCAACTTAGTTGGTAGCTATATCTTGCTCAAGCAAGGTACCACCCTAGCGAGTTATTGTACCAAAATAATCTAGAGATACAGCCAAAATTAAATCCGAATCTTCACATACTATTCTTTGAACCACCTTTAGGCACATGCTATGGAATACTTAAAGAAATAATGCATGATGCTCTCAAGTTAAAGAAGAACAGGGGCTTGATTTTGTAATTAAATTTCACTGAAGTGTTTACCCAAAACGTGTTTGGACAGCAGTTTTGACCCTCTCAAGCATCACTTTCTTAAAATGCGTGGATCTTGGACATGCGTGTCAAAAGAAAAACGGATTAGCATCAAACCGATTGTGCGCCTAGCGAGACCGGGCTACTGGACATGTATGCATTTATTGAAAACTAGGCTTTATCTTACATCATGATGGGGACACATCCGCATGATCTGAACATACTAGTTATTCATTTCTGCACAAGTGAAGTCTTTGGAAAGCGACTTTTCTCTAAAACTATTAAAAATGCTTTATTGTACACGTTTCTGGTCGAGATTCTACAGGGTGCTACCTATGTTCGAGTCCTCATGAGGATCCAAACTGCAGTCCACTCTGGAAGGAACTACATTTTGAGAAATAGGGCTACATAAAATTCACTTGAATCGTGAGGCCTCCTCATATCATTATGGAAAATTTTTAATTATCATTTCTTCATCCTCCTTTGCCACCCAAGGTGAATAGAGCTGTTATTCAAGATCTACTCATGGTTTTGAAGCCCACTCGTTACAAATAGTTACCACAACAGATCTTCTGTATAAATAGGTTTCAAGACTAGTATTACTTCTTGAATAAGAATTTATTCCACTTTGATTGTTAATGGTATCCTGCAGTAAATAACTCCTCCACTATTTGAGCGCTTCGCAAATAAAGCCCAGATACAAATGGGATAAAGAGGATGAAAATAATCTAAACTGTATTGGACGTAGTCGCCTATTTCCTTATTTATTTTTTGTAGAATTACTTCCTTTTTACAAATTGTCTAAATTTGCCCATATAACGAATATTTACTTGTATCAGCAATCTATATGTCGCTTTATTGGTGAAAGCATCTAGAGACTTATTTAAGAGGGTTTACTTTGATAATTGCCGCATATGTCCGACTTAATGTCTACACACTTTTGTAATTCTGTAGGTTTTACTGGAGCAGCCTGAAGGGGAAAGCGGCATATAATTTTGATTGAGACTCTCACCAGCAATGCATAAATTGAAGAGTATATTCCTCGTATCGAAGCTCCGTCTGCTTCAAAAAATATGCCTAAGTGAGTCTATCGGAAATGACTGGTATTTGTTGTCCCTATTACTTAAATGCTAAATAAGTTACACTTTTGTATAGAAGTAGTATGACCTTGCCTTCTCAACTTGACTGTGTTGCAAGGGGGACCTATTTGGACGTACCTTTTGTTGAAATCCTCTGCTATAGTAACTAGCGAAATTCCCAGCGTTGGACCATGGACTTGGTACATTCCCAGGCGTTTTGCAGGCACCGTCAGTGCGTCTTGCCATGCTCAGCACGAAGCTATAACTCGTCAGAGATAGGTCGTCTTGACAACGTGACCAAGTTGCAAAAACATGGTCGGACCACTTCTAAACATCTAAAGGAGACTGCGAGTAAACAGAGTCCACAACAGCTTGGTCCACGTTTCAACATTTAAACTGTTTGCATTCACTCGAATGCTACATATTTGGGGCATATTGTGTAAATG